GCCGTTCGGACCCTGACGTGGGGGAACTCAGCTCGGAGACGAGTGGCACCGGGGGCTGCCCGACTGGGCGACGGGATGGCCGGATCCTTCCCACCACTCCTGCAGTGCCTTCCTTGGGTGCGAGCCAGAGAGGTGGGGAGGGGGTGCTAGGGCAGCATGCCCACCAGCAGCTGCATGTCTTCCAGCCCGACAAGACCCCGAGAAGCAGGGGTAAAGCCCGCGATACCCTCTGGCGATCTCTGCAACGAGGACAGTCCTCCACGGCGGCAGTCTTGGTGCCAGGACACGGCACAGGGGTGTAACACCAGCGCTGCATGGCGAAGGCAGCGCCCGCAGGCACCCTGGTTTGGCTCCGTTCGGGCTCACCCCAAGAAAGGCACAGAGCAGTCAAGCACCCCCAGCTCTGCCAAGCCCAGGGCAGCACTCCGGGGTCTTCTCGGCACTGACAGCTTCTTGGGGATCCCCTCTTCTGGGATGAGGGGCAGGGAAGCCCCCCCTTTCCTTCCACAGCTCCAGGCCCCTTAAGGGGGGAGACAATATTCCAGCAAAGTCTTTAGGGTACCAGCTCCCCCCTGGCCCTTCCCCCAAACCTGGGGCAGGAGGAGGAGGAGGGAGCAGAGGCCGGTCAGGTCATGTAGCGGGTGACAGCTCTCAGGGCATAGAGCAGAGCCGCCTGCATCCGAGCCTCCAGCAAGAGCAGGTTGATGTGCACCTACGCAGGGAGAGCGGGGTCAGTGCATGGGGGGCTCAGCACCCCCCCACGCCCTGCCAGGAGGGGAAGGGATGGGGCAGTACCTTCTCTGAGTGCTTGAAGTGTCTCCAGAACTGCGTATACACCCGCTTGGTCGTCTTCTCCGGGTAGCAAGCCACTGTCTTGATGTAGATCTTCAAGCTGCGCTCCAGGAGCTGGTTCACCTCCCCATAGTCGTAGTCATCGTAGCTGGGGGAGAGAGGAGGGCGCGTTACGCCAGGCACAACCCCTGCCCAATTCGCACATCCCAGGGTCTTTCCAGACCTAAGCTGTGCCCCCCAACAGCATCGCTTTGCCTTAGCCTAAGCAGCAGCAACAGTCTCACCAAGACCGAGTCACAGGCTCCCAAGGCTGGACCCGCTCCCGGGCTCTACCCAAGGCGGAGAACAGGCTCCGGCCACGGCTCGGGGACCTACCGGATGCCGAAGACGCAGTGGACGTAGTTCCAGATGGCCCTGCGCAGCATGGACGTGTCCACGCCGCAGTGCATGGCGATGGTGTTGTACGTCAGGTTGTAGACAACCTGGAACTTCTCATCCAGGAGCTGCCCCACGTCGGGGTAGAGGCGGTTGATCAGCGAGTAGCCGTGGTCCTCCCAGGTGTAATCCTGCCAGAGAAAGGATGCTGGGGTAGGGGCTCAACAGGGAAACGTGGGGTCCCTTCAAAGCCAGTGACACAAGCTGGGGTCTCCCCCCCGCCATGCTGATCCCCCCCCAACTATTAGAATCATAGAATCCTAGAATCATTAAGGTTGGAAGAGACCTCCAAGATCATCGAGTCCAACCGTCAACCCAACACCACCATGCCCAAACCGCCACCCCACCACCACCATGCCCACTAACCCATGTCCGCAAGCGATTAGCAACTGGTTGCACTGCTCAGACAGCTCCAGCCTGGTCCCAGCCCTTCGCCCTCTGCACCCACGCTGTCCACGACCCTGGAACAGCCCCGCTTGTCCCCCCGCCAAGACAAGCAGGACCTGCCACCCAGCACCCTGCCACCCCTTCCCCTCCGGCTGGCACGGGACCGCGAGCACCCACCTGCGCACGGAAAGTTGGGGGCGCCTGCTCGCCCCTCCGTGTGAAGTCCTTGTACCCGAACTCGGGGTCCTCCACGAAGCAGAGGACGTTGGACTGCAGGGAGTGATCCGCAATATCTACAAGGCACCACCGCAGCAGCCATGAGCGACGCGGCGTGACCCCGGACAGAGCCAGCCCTGCAGCTGGGGTCCTGATCTTGCTCCTCCCTGGGCAGATGCTGGCTCCTTCTCCCCCTCCCCTGTGACTTCCCTGGCCCACAGTCAGCTGCACCCCTGCACCTCCTCACCCGAGGGAGCGACCAGCAAACTCTCCGTCTTCTCCAGCTCAAAGCGCGTTGCCATCTCCTCCTGCGTGACACCCTCCTCCTCCAGCTGGCTTTCCTGCAGCAGCTTCATCCTCTCCATCAGCACCTCCACCTCCCGCATGGCATCTTTGCCCTGGCGAAGCAGAGGCCAGAGTCAACCCTGCCCTAGGTCGAGCAAGGTTGCAGAGGGGTTGCAAGCCCAGAGCAGCACGGAGCCGCTCTCAGCCCTGCTGTCACTTGCAGACGCCC